AACCTTCTCCCTCATCAATCAAATCAGAAAGAAGGGAATGCCATCATATACAAACAATACAGAGCTATAAAAGGAAGTAAATTCGGTGAGGTATTTTTTAGTTTTAGTTTTTCTTTTTTTTTAAGGAAGAAAAGAAGGGGCTCTCTTGAAAAAAAGAAATGTCGTGGTATTTACCCATCTGGATGCTGCTTGAAAACAAATTGTCCTCTAAAGAGCAGAAATACAGTGTGTTTTCTCTCAGTTCACTGGCTTATGAATGACTTTTTGTTGTTGTTGTTGTTTTGTTAATACACAATATAATGTCATTTTCTGTTTCAGTGATGTGCTTTTTCCTCCTACTCATCCAACTGTATAAAGGAGCCGTGCCAGTTAGACCTCCATGCTTATACGGGGCTGTTGAAGTTCTTCACCACTGTTTTTTATGGATCTACTCCAAGGTACTGTTTAGATCAACATAGGAATTTGGGAGCATGGGGGGAAGGAAAGGAAAACAGCTACTTATTCCTTCTAAAAGGCTTATGTGGTTCCCTTTATAAGGCCCAGTCATTAACAGAAGATGACAACACAGTCATTTTTCTTTCAGCTGACAATTGTGACATTTTTCCAGCAGCGTGCAAGGTGTTGAAAACCTGGCAGCTGTTACCTCCTGGGATGAAGATACTTTTTTATCCTCCCTTGACAGTTTAACTCAGTGGGTCAGCACCTTTAAAAGACTGCAAAGTATCCTTGAAGAGGATGGAAGCTTGAATTACTGCTCCCTCCCTAATCAATGTAAACCCTCACTGCAGGTGAAGTCTCCATCTATAGAGGTGCATGGGGGAGGAAAATGTAATGCCCTGAGCCAGATGGTTTTTATCTTGTTTTTAAAGAATAAAGGAACAAGCTAACAAGGGAGACAGCTACTTTGTTAGCTTCTTGGCCTCTCTCATGGCTTTGCATCCCCAGGGTTCCAGCTACACAAGAGAAAGAATACAGAAAAACGTAAACACTTAAAGAAATATAACTAGAGGGCTGGCATCATGCTGCTTTCAAAGAGTTGAGAGAGCTCTACTCAATGCTTTATTTATCACTGCCCACGTTCTCAGGATGGTAAGTGGACACACACACAAAGGGAATGGGGGATGGGGGAAGGATTAGACAGAGGTCACAATTTACTCAATTACAGAGAAAGGCAGGGCTGACAGATCCTATTAGCACCAATGTGAAGCAAAGAAGGAGTTGCATGTTGTAAGGCTACATTTTCAAAAAGTAATGAGTACTTTCATGTCTCCTCCCAGGCCTTTGCCCTTGTTTGCAGATATGAATAAACACTATGAAAACAGTCGCTCTGGTTTCCTTGACTTCACATCTGAGGAATAAAAGTAGAAAGAAAAATTGTAGCCACTTTGTACATTCTTTATATAAAAGTTCACACTTCACTTAACACAGATAGAGGAGATTATTCTGAAACTTAGAAAATTAAAACGATACATTACTTTTCTTTGCCCACCAACTTTCCTGCCTTCTAGTATTGGACATGAAATGGAAAAGCAGGTACACAAAATGGCTTGGTGATGCAGGGACTAGTGTCTCCTGACTTTCTCCCTCAGTATTTTCTTTTTTCACTAATGTCTTTGTCAGGTTTTGGAATCATGGTAATGGTGGCCTCAGAATACAAGTCCGGAAGTGTTCTTGCCTTCATCTGAGTTTGTCTAAGAGTGGGTTATTTATTCCTTCAAGGTTTCATAGAATTCACCACTGAAACCCTATGAGGGCCTTTGGATAATCTGATTTCTTCAACAGACATCAGGCTAGTCAAATTTGGTTTCACCTTGCAGTGGTTTCAGTAAGTTTTATTTTTCAAGGAATTTGTCCATTTCATCTAAGTTGCCAAAATTGTGGCTTAAAGCTGTTCATAATATTCCCTGATTATCCTTTAAAAGTCTGTATGAATTGTAGTGATAACCCTTCTTTCAGCTCCTCCAGGGATTAAACAACTCAAAGTTAACACGCAGTGGTCACAGTCTATCAACACCTGCGAAACTGTACTTTAGAATAGCATATGTAAACTATAAAATCAGTTTAAAACAATACTAAACTTGTTAGAATGTAACCAAGAATTCAAAAATAAAAAGTGAAAGAGTTCCTGAAATCCCATTAGAAATATCCGCAAAAGAATCTCAAGGGATTGGTTTATATGCTGCAAATCCTACTTCCATCAACGCTAGGTAAAAAGCAGCTCTGACATCTTTTTATCTATATAACTTGACTAAAGTGGGGAGGGGGAGCAAATGGCACTTCATTATTGTCATGCAACAGAGAAAAGGGGGAGTTTAAACAGCTTCTATATTATGTCCTACATTTAAAAAAACAGCAGTGGGGTAATCAAGTTCAGGGCAGTCCCGGACAGCTGCCCTGTGACCCTCTTCTATTGACCCCTGCTATTCATCACTCTTCCCTAAGATTGAGAGGGCAAGCTCCTAGGGAGTGACCACCACAATAGACAGACACAAGCCAACAGTAATCTGGTTCAAGCAAAAAACCAGATGGCACTGCAATAAATTTACAAATCTGCATTCATGGGGCTGTTAAAACACCCAGAAGCTAAAAGATTCAGATGGCCCCAAGAGGATCTCCTACTTCCCAGTTTCTAAAGGCCATTTCTCTTTCCAAGAACACTGAGTTCATGCTCTTCATAAAGAGAATAGAGGGGAAAAAAAAAAAAAACCTTTACAAAGACAGGAGGGGAAAAAAACCCTCATGACCTAATTAATCTCCAGAGCCTGGATCTCAACACTGAATGACAGATATTAGAAAAATCATTGTGGAGCAGTAGGAGCAAAAACAAAAAAAAAACAAGATGGTTTTTATATTAAAGTGGAGAGGGTGAAGCAAACCTGCTAAAAAGCAATGAAAAAGCCACATCAAATCTCTTTCAAATACTGCACACAACAGATCTTGCAAGTAGAAAATGATTCAATAATGTATGCATTTATTTTTAAAATGAATCAGATTAGTCCCATGTGTGACCTGCTGGTCCATCTGTATGTGCTGGACTTAATAGGCACGATTCTCTCTCTTGCTTCAGTTTGAAGTATGAGAGAGATAAATTTAGTTTAATTTTCAACAGATCAGCCTATCCATTTTCCAAATGGACCATCTGGATCAGCCTATTAAAATTAATTTATAACTTTGCAGAGTGAAAATTCGTTTGTTAGCTTAAATAAAGTTGCCAAAACTTTTTGTTGTGTCATTGTTTTCTGACAGTTGTTTCTGTATAGTGGGAAGACTGTTTCCACATCTAAATTTACCTTACTCAATATTGCTCTATTTACTTCGATTTATAGATCAGGTGTTTGTCTCCAAATAGTTAAAATTGTAACTGCAGAATACCAATTACTGATCATTGGGTTTTTTACAAAGCTTCCTGAATGGATTCAATTCTACTTACTAAACAATAATTTTTATAACAAACTAAAAGTGCTCATCCCCCAATCTTTAACATAAATAAAAAATGAGTATATCATAGTTTCAAGTACTTTTTCCCTAAATTAACACTGTATACAGGGGTGCCTGGGAGGCTCAGTTGGTTAAGCATTCGACTTCGGCTCAGGTCATGATCTCACAATTCATGGGTTCGAGCCCTGTTTCGGGCTCTGTGCTGACAGCTGAGTCTGGACCCTGCTTCAGATTCTGTGTCTCCCTCTCTCTCTGCCCCTGCCCTGCTCATGCTCTCTCTCAAAAATAAAATAAACATTAAAAAAAAACAAACAAACCCATACAAACTGGAATAAGAAGGCAAAAGTAGAAACACTCGGGCAACGTTGAAATCTGGGTTTTAAACCACTGACTAGCTAATAAGTAAGTCCTCTAACCTCTCTAAGCCTCCATTTCTTTCATCTATAAATCAGAGGCCCTATCTAGAAACTTTGCAGGGGGATTGTGAGGATGGAATGAAACAAGTAGCAGGATTATGATGGGCTCTCAACAAATATTACACCTCTTCTCCTTTTTCCTAGGATAATGCCATAACGCAAGTAAATTAATATTATTTTTACTACTGCTGGCGCTCATCTTATCCAACTTTATATTAAAAGTTAATAGGTGGTATATCTATTCTCTGGCAACACTGTAAGAACTTGGTTTTGTTGCCAGTGGGTGATGGTGATAGAAGATGTTAGAGGTTGTTGCTACAGACAGTGAGAAGAGTAAATTTTTTGATCAAATGTTTTTGGACATTTTAATTAAAAAATATTCTTTTAACGTTTATTTATTTTTGAGAGACAGAGAGAGACAGAGTGCAAGCAGCGGAGGGGGGCAGAGAGAGAGGAAGGCACAGAATCCGAAGCAGGCTCCAGGCTCTGAGCTGTCAGCACAGAGCCCAATGCAGGGCTCAAACTCACAAACCATGAGATCACGACCTGAGCAACCACTCAACCGACTGAGCCACCAAGGCACCCCACGACATTTTATTTTAAAAAAGAGAGCACCAAGGAATTAACTTTCAAAATAAAATGTATTACCTTTGGGGAGTGGGAGCACAGTGAGGAGTAAAAGTTTTTTTTACGTTAACAATAATGGCCTTTACTTTTAGGAAAGGGCAAATACTGCTCAGACTAAAAGGAGCTAACTTCTCTAGGGGCAGATCCCTTTTAATTGTTAATTTTTTTTTTTTTTTAGTGTATTAAGAATCTCAGTAAGAGAGTAAGATTTAAAGCCAACTATTCTACCATCTGCACTTAAGAAGCATTTCACGTTATTCTCCTGAACAAGAAGACTTTTCTTTGATGTTGTTTTCACTATACGTAAGCAATCAACCTGTCCTGTACTTGTACACCTAGGATATTTTTAAGTGATTGGGAGAACACTGTTACCTGACTGAAATTGATGGCTATAGCCAGACCAACTTCAAAGTACTCTTAATTTAAGCTCTGGTGCTTAATGAATGGCAAATTGAGGGTTTCCTGTCTTTTGTTTTGTCGTTTGTAGCTTTTTATTTTAAGACAGACTGAATTTCATACCTGTCTAAGTGAATTCTTCTCTGGTATTATCTTCCTAGGGGGTTCGCCATTATTACAGTCTTCTCTCTCTGAGGAATTCTGTGAAAGAAAGTAAGCTTTAATTCAGTTCTCATTATCTTCAATCTTATTCTGTGGGAGTAAACTGAATTACATTTCTAATTCTGTAAGCTAGAATACTGTGTATATTTATGCATTTATTCATTTGAAGATTTATATACATATAGACATACACTTATGTAAAGGAAAACATATGCCCATGTATATAAATAAATGTAAGTAGGGACCTAGGTGGAAAGTATTCCATTTATATTTAAGCACTGCCCAGCAGATCACATTCATCAGAAAATCTAGTTTATTGCTCTCTGAAAAAGCAGGTTGACATTGGACAGGAGAAAACTCCAGTTTATACTTAGCTGATAACAACTTAATCATGATTATTACCTTCTCTTAAATAATTAGTTTTACACTATAGTAAATGTTTGGTCACTACAAATTCTCAAAGTATGGATCCTAAAAAAATAGTTCTTTCTCTTCTTCAGATCTGATTTTCTTTTATTAAAAATAACATAGTACTTAGCTCAAAACAACATCATTTCATCAATGGTTTAGGATTAGAGTCCACTCTTACCACAGTCATCTCAAATATCAGCCAGAAGACCATAAATGTCAATGAGATTTTTAAATACTTAAGAAGAAGGGGAAAAACAACAATCCAATTGAAAGCAAGTTCAGAATTCTAAATATCATCAGAATTATAAAGCAGGACCCCACAGAATGGGAGAATATATTTGCAAATCATGTATCTGATAAAGGATTAATATCCAGAATATATAGAGAAGTTGTAAACTAAACAAACAAAAAACCCTAACAACCCAACTTACAAACGCACAAAGGACTTGCATAGACATTTCTCTAAAGAAGGTACAAATGGCCAATAAGCACATGAAAAGATGACCAACGTCACTAATCATTTCAGAATGTAAATTTAAAAACCTATGAGTAGATACCTCATCACATTCATCAAGAAGGCTACTATCAACAACAGACAATAACAAAATATATATTGGCAAGGTTGCCGAGAAACTGGAACTCTCGTGCAAACTGTTTGTGAGAATGTAGAAACAGCTGCTGTGGAAAACAGTATGGTAGTTCCTCAAAAATTAATAACAGAATTATCATATGATCCAACAATTCCACTTCTGGGTATATACTCAAAAGAATAGAAAGTAGAGTCTCAAAGAGATATTTGTACATTCATGTTCATAGCAGCATTATCCACAATAGCTAAAAGGTAGAAGCAATTCAAGTGTCCACTGACTGATGGAAGGGATGAAGAAAATGTGGTGTATTCCATACATCAATGGAATAGTGTTCAGCCTCAAAAAGGAAGGAAATTGCTACATGGACAAACCTTGAGGATATTATGCTAAGCAACGTGAGTCAGTCACAAAAAGAAAAATACTGTATGATTCCACTTATATGAGACAGAGTGGTCAAAATCCCAGAGAAAGCGGAATGGTGGTTGCCAGGGGACGGGAGAAGTGGGGTGGGGAGTTATTATTTAAGGGGTATAGAATTTCAGTTTTACAAGATGGAGAATTATGGAGACAGAGGGGAGTGATGGGTGCAAAACACTATGAATGTATTTAATACGACTGAAAAATGGCTAAGATGATTAATTTTGTTATACGTATTTTACCACAATACAAAACAATTGAAAAAAATACGGTAATCAACACATGTAAGTCATGATCTGCAAGGCCAAATACAGAAAATGTGAATACATATTATTTAGGGACTACTTTCCACAACTACATTTATAGTGTTAATATTTTCATATTTGCAAGTTTAAAATACTCATTACATTACATATATCCAACACATTCTAACTGGGGAGCTATTTTTAGATCTAGAAATTATTTCGAACATGAGTTTACCTGAAAACTTTCATACAAGTATGAAATTATCAGTAGAGTATAGGCTCATAACTGTATTTCAAACTTAGATGTTCATTTTTTGGTTTGTATCAAATATTATATTTTAAAAGATATTAAAGGATAAGCAGCATATAGATAGTGTCATTTTAAGCCCCTTGCCACCTCTATGGCTACAATCTGTGTGCCCTGTGCATTACATGTAGTTGGCGTGACAGACAAGTACTGTAAGGTGTTCCTTTGGGGCAGAAATTTCTTATGATATTTAGCTTGATATTTTATATTTGTGATGACCACTTTATGGTAATGGTTCCTAAAGTTAAGACAAAGAAGAAAAAAAAACATGCTATGCTACAAGCAAGGGAGAGACTCAATAAGTTCAGAATTCTAACTGCTTTTTCTCCCCCATTTTGAAAAACAAGTAATGTAGTCTATCTACCAAAAAATTAGAGAGATACAGCTGAGTTAATGACTATAAAGCATTCCAAATAAGGAAACTAGCAATATATGCCACGGTAAGATAAGGAAAGGAGGGGAAAGGCCAACATTGAACCCGTAAGATCGACTTGAGTATTTAACTTTTTAAAAAAGAAAGTATTGGGGCACTTGTGTGGCTTAGCTGGTCTGACTCTTGATTTTGGCTCAGGTCATGATCTCATGGTTTGTGAGTTCAAACCCCATGTCGGGCTCTGTGCTGACAGTGTGGAGTCTGCTTGGGATTCTCTCTCTCCCTCTCTGCCCCTCCCTAGCTTTCTTTCTCTTTCTCTTTCTGCTCTCTTTCTCTCTCTCTCTCTTTCTCTCAAAACAAATAAATAAACTTTAAAAAAATAAAAAAGTATAAATCCAAGTTTTAAATGCTAAAATTAAAAAACTAAATGTTTTACATAATACAAACTTAAGCCAGTATTCAATTATAAACTTACAATTTGTAAGTAACTATTCCCCAGACCATGAAGTTCCACCCTCCCTTAAATAAAGAATCATTTATAATCAAAACTGGTTTAATTCAATGTAAAGTCCTATATTTGAACACTTATTATGTTTTGTTAAAATGTCATCATAATAAACTGGAATCCTAGTTGCGTTTTGGTCAAAGTTTATTATTGTAAAGTCATTATAAAGCACATTTTTACTCTACAGGTGCATAAAGTGAAACAAAATTGATGGTAAACTCTCTAGATACTAAATTACATTGTGAAAACAGTAACATGAACCTAAAGGAATGAGCAGCAACTATCTAGCCCATATCCACAATTTTCTTCCTCTTGACCCTCTATTTTATCTGATTTATTTCTCTACCTCACAGTAGAGAGATCTGATAGACATCACCTTAACATTATGTGCCCCTTTATATGATGTACTGAGAACACATTATTACTTCTGAGGTAACCTTGCCAAAAATATATAAGCTCAATCTGATCACAGAAAATATCAGACTAACCCAAATTGGGAGATTCCTAAAAAATTACTAATATGTACTTTAAAAATATCAGAGTCATGAAATACAAAGAGAGACTAAGGATCTATTTCAGGTGAAAGGAAACTAGAGACATGACAACTGAATGCAACTTGTATTCTGAGATTATTTGGGGGCGGGGGTTAAAGTAAAATTGATGGTAAACTCTTCTGTACAGAATTATATAGTGTCAAATAGGGATCCGCATCTAAGAGAATGAGTAGTGCCTATCTAGGCAACACCCACAATATTCTTCCTCCTGACCCCTCTATTGCATTTGATTTTGATGGTTAAATATTGAGTGGGTACCGTGCCATAATGGTATAAAGAACATTATTGGAACAAGTAGAAAAATTTGAACAAGGTCTACAGATGAGTTTAATAACATTGTATCGATGTTAATTTCCTGGTTGTTTCCTCACTTTAAAATTTTACATACAGAAAAATTCACTTGTTTTGGTGTATAGTTATACGAGTTTTGACAAAAAGCATACAGTAATATAACTACCACCACAAATCAAGATGTAAAGAAGTTTATCATTTCCCAAATTCTCTCACACTGCCTTTAAACAGTGTGTCCCTTTCCCTAGTAATCACACATTTTTCGTCTCAATAATTTTATCTTTCCCAAAATGTCACAAAATGGAATCAGACAGTATGTAATTTTTTAGTTTTTTCCCTCTTAGCTTAATACATCACTTAAAGATTCTTCACTCCTGTTGTTGCATGTACCAGCAGTTCTTTCCTTTTTACTGCCAGGTAGTATCACTGTATGGACGCTCCACAATTTGTTTATACATTCGGTTTCCTGATTTTGACAATGTGTACTGTGATTATTTGAAAGAACGTCCTTGTTTTTAGGAAACATACAATGAAACACTTATGTTGGAAAAAAGACATTATGTCTGTAACTAACTTTCAAAGGGTTCAGAAAAAATAAGTAAATGAATGTGAGCACATATGTCTCCATATAAACAGAGATAAAGCAAATGTGGTAGCATGTTAACATGTGTAGAATATGTGTGAAGAGTATGAGGGGATTCTTTTCACTATTTTTCAACTTGTTTTGGTGCATAGTTATACGAGTTTTGACGAAAAGCATACATTCTGGAATTCTGAAATTATGAGAAAATAAAAAATAATAAAACAGATGAAACCTAGAAGAAAATATGTTTAAAAATGGAAAGACAGGGGTGACTGGGTGGCTCAGTTGGTTAAGCGTCTGACTCTTGATTTCGACTGAGGTTATGATCTCATGGTTCATGAGTTTGAGCCCCACATTGGTCTCTGTACTGACAGTGCCAAGCCTGCTTGGGATTCTCTCTCTCTCTTTCTCTGCCCCTCCCTTTTCAGTCGTGCTCTCTGTCTCTCAAAATAAGTAAACTTTAAAAAATTGTAAAGATAGAAGTCAGATAAGTGAAAAATAAATTCGGGGCGGAGAATTCCCTCAAATATAAATAAAAACCAATTAACCCTGAGCCAACTAGAAACACTTGACTGCCCAGAACAACTCATTCACAATACTCAGACTGAACATTTCTTTATAGTAAATACATTTACAGAGTGTATTGGTAGTCCTGGGGTAACAATATGGTATGAATAGTAGCATTATATTAGAATATTTATAAAATATTTTATTACCTTCCATAAATTAATTTCTTTTCATATTAACTCAAATATTCCTCTTT